GATTCACACTAACCTTCCTCTGGTGGGCAATTTCGTTCTCACTCTCACAGCCCCTGAGGAACTGCATGGGTGCACACTGGAGATTTCCTGACCAAAGTTCATGTACGGTGTAATTTAAGTAAAAGCCCTGATTACATTCTGTGCTGCTCTGAGTTAAATGATAGGAAAACCTGATATGTGTGGAAGGGCCGAGGCAAGTACATGTGCTTTCCTCCCCCGGTTCAGTCAAAAGCAGCATGAGAAACACATTAGAACTGAGGCAGATTCTAAACATTGAACAGCTAATTCCAGGAGGCGGAAAACAAAAATAGACTCATTATAGTATGGACAAGAAGAGTGTATTGATTTATAAATTTATGTATCACATCCAGTTGCGTCAATGGAGAGCCATGAGTTAATGTATATATATATTTGCATAGGTGATCGTCTGGTTATTCATCTGAAATATAACAAACAGTTAAATATCAGCCAAATTAAAATCTGTTGTATGTACATTGCTAAATGCCCTACTTTGAATTTCTCAGTGGGTCTATTAATTTTCCTGTGAGATGATTGTAGATATATCCAAAAGCATATTTTGAATGATTAGGGCACTTTCAGAAATTTATCCTATTAGTAACCTACCTTCTGGTAATAGACACCCTATTCTGAAACCATCCCACTCTATTAAATCCTGACACTATCCAATGAAACATGAGCAGAGGAGCTAGTGCTAAGATGAGGTCTGCTGTTTCCAAATTTATACTAAACTCCATGTGCTTCACTGTCTTAAACTCTGCTTACTGTATTTAGGTTATTGGTTTATGAGGGCAAGATATGCCAGTAAAAAGGAGGTATTGTTTTGATATTAAGAGTAGGTTCTTACCTGACTCATAGGCTGAATTATGTTATAGCAAGAAATTGGCAAAATTGTAATGTTACAAGTAATGAATTAGAAGTATGATTTATAATTATATATAATTGATAAGTAATTATAATTATTATAAACATTATGGATTCACTATCTCCATAGTCTCGAGAGTATAGTTATTTAATCCTGAGTTGTCATTCTTAGTTTGAAACAAAGGCTTATGCGAGAAATGTGACACCTGCTCCTCCTTGGGGGGCATAATCATCCTTATCTGGCTCTTATTTTTTCCAATGTCACTAATCACTATAAAAAAAACTATAAAGTATAAATATTCATTTGCTTTTTTAAAAAGATTTTATTTATGTATTTGATAGCCAGCACAAGCAGGGGAGATATATATACATACATATACACACACATATATATATATATACATATATATATATATATTTTTTAGATGGCACAGAATCTGCGCGTGTGTGTGTGTGTGTGTGTGTGTGTGTGTGTATTTATTTATTTATTTGGGAGAGAGAGATAGGGTGAGTTGAGGGGGAGGGTCATAGGAAGAGGGAAAGAAAGAATGTCAAGCAGGCTCCCCGCTGAGCAAGGAGCTCCATGGAGGACTGGATCTCAGAACCCCAGGATCATGACCTGAGCCAAAGGCAGACACTTAACCAAATGAACCACCCAGGTGCCCAGATATTCATTTGCTTTTATTCTTCCATTCCTAGAATGCAAGCTCTGTGAAGGGAAGGATTTTTAAGCGTTTTATTTTACTGACATATTTACATAATGCCTATTATGTAGGCACTAAATATTGGTCAAGTGAATAGATATGAAACATCATACAGTGTAAAGTGACACTGTACCACAACCTAATAATAATTTGAACAAAAACATGAGTTGGGGGCGCCTGGGTGGCTCAGTCGGTTAAGCACTTGACTCTTGATTTCCGCTCAGGTAATGATCTCAGGGTGGTGAGACCAAGACCCACCTCTGGTTCCAGGCTCAGCACAGAATCTGCTTGTCCTTCTCCCTCCCCCTTCCTTTGCTCCTTTGTCTCTCTTTCGCTCTCTCAAATAAATCAATAAATAAAATCCTAAACAAAACAAAACAAAACAAAAACATAAGTTATACTCAATTCTGGTACTACTGAAGAAGCTTCAAAATGTACTTCAGATGGTAGTTTCTCCACCGAGTCTTCTCTGTAGTCCCCAGGAGGGGCCGGAAGCTCCTGGTGTGTGTTCAGACAGAGTCCCACCCTTTACCACAGTGTGAATTTTTTTTTTTTTTTTAAAGATTTTATTTGACAGATCACAAGCAGGCGGAGAGAGAGGAGGAAGCAGGCTCCCCGCTGAGCAGAGAGCCCCATACGGGGCTTGATCCCAGGATGCTGGGATCATGACCTGAGCTGAAGGCAGAGGCTTTAACCCACTGAGCCACCCAGGCGTCCCCACAGTGTGAAATCTTAACCAGACTGCGCATGTCTGCCTTCCTTGTTCTTGGAGTTCACGGTGTTCTGAAGTCAGGGCCATGGTATTTCGTTGGTTTGTTTTTAGAATCTAGACACAGTGTTTGGTTCCTAGAAAGCACTCAGTTAAAAAAGTAAAGGGCAGGGGGTGTTGAAGGGAAAGATAGAGGGTATGGGGAATAGAAAGGAAGAGATGAATGAAGGAGGGGGGGTTGCTTATTTAATCAAGATAGAACATTGGGACAAGGGAAGAATTTAGATACTGCTGTAGGTTTCCAAGAGAGATATTTTTAGCAAATGAATTCAGATATTATGAGTATTTCTGTGTGCCAGGCATGCTTCTAGCCACTGAGGGGTCTGCTGTAAACAAAGAGATACTGTCACTGTCCCCATGGAGCACTTTTAGGTTAGTTAAAAAAATTTTTTTTTTTAGTTAAAAAAATTTTTTTTTGGTGGGGGAGACAGAAAATAAGTATAATATTGTATATGTAAAACAATGTTCAACATGATTTGAAATATAGTGGAAAATATATAAATTGTAAAAATAAGTGAATTATATAAAATAAATGAATTATATAAAATATATTAATTATATAAATATATGAATGCAATATAATATATGATTGTAATAAAATATGATATGATATGACATAATGTAGAATTTAGGGATGCTTAAAGGGAATCCGTGGATTGCCTCTTTGTAAAGATTCCTCATAAGCCTTTACCTGTAAAATGCTATTTGCTGTATCCCAGAACGCGAAACACAACATAAGTCACTCCAGAAGTGGCGTTTATAACTTACATGTATGCCTCAACCCGGCCTGAACGTGGGAGAAACGATTTGCATAGACGTCGAAACCATACATAGATCTTCGAGGGGCGCATCTCCGTTGCGTGCAGAAGCACGGAGCCCCCGAGGGGAGACTTGGGGGTCTGGAGGCTCCCTGCGCGCAGGCCTCCTTGCGCAGCTGGGCGGGACCTTCCTTTCTCAACTGACGCAGGGATGAAAAGGGTTTGAGAACCTGCAGACCAGACAGACTTCCCCAGACTTTTGGTTAAAAGCGACTGCACTCTGTGGCTTTCTCCAAGGTCTTGATTAAGCTGATATTTACGAAGTCGTTTCTGTTAGACAAAAAATCGAGTCGTGCTGGAACGGGGGTGATGATTGCAGGATCTGGGCCCCCACGGTTGGCTGCTGCGGGTGGGTGATAATAATAAGAAATATACTGCCACTTTTGCTTTAATAGAAGCGAATTATTTTGCTAGCATATGGAAGCGTGTGCTTCGGGTACCACAGTGCTTTGTGGTAGAGGGGGAAAAAAAAAACACAAAAACAATTACATGAATGAGGTAGAATGACTGTGTTATTGCAGTACATAAGACTTTGATTACATACTGCCAAGATTCATACCAGCCTAGTAGTTGTTGACAGATAGAGTAACAAAAATGAAACTCATTTATTTTTTTCTTTATTGAGACCTCAAGGAAAAGCAGATTTTCAGTTCTTGTACTTACTACGTTGATAGAACAGAGACTGACAGCAAAAATGTGCCAGTCCAGAAATATAAATTAAACCCCGGTTCATATCAAAATTCCATTTAGTCTTGGAAAAAGAGTTGCTGTTTGGATTATTTTTGATCCTAAATCAAATATACGATGGAGGATCACAGTATACCTGGTATTTGTTAACCCTTTCCTGTGAACAGTACTTGCAACCTCATTGTTTTTGGTCGATGATGCTTTATTTCTCCCGCAGTGTATGAGGCCACTTGAATTATCGTCAGAGTAGGTTATATTTTACCGAATGGAAATTGCTAGCAACAGACATATACATCTCAGTCTGCAGGAAGTATGAAGCTAGATTTGAAAAATTGATAACAGACCCTTTTCTCTATTACATCCCATTTGATGCTACAGTTTGATTATCAATACAAATAAGTGAGAAATGTAAAGTGGGGATTTTTGGATTGTTTGTTGAGATTGTTGATGTGTATTGAACAAAATTTCTGACTACATCATTTGTACCTTCCCTTCCTGTAACTTAAGTTGACCAAGCAAAAAGACCTCTTACTTTCTTTTCTTTTTCTTTCTTTGTCTCTTACCCTCCCTTCCTCCCTTCTTTCCTTTTTTCTTCCCTCCCTCACTTCCTTCTTTCTCTCTCTTTCTTTTCACTTTCTCTCTTTCTTTATCTTCAACTGTCAATATGGAAGTTTTGTTATAGTTTCTCTTAATTAAGACACTATGAAATCAATGACAGAATTCTGAAAACAACAGCACAGCAGACTTGGGGAGTGGATATATAAGCAGGTAAACAGAATGATCAGTAAACCCTAAACATCATTATAATCCAACAATATCCATTTCTTGAGTGTATCCTAAACAGAATTTTGCTTAAGTTTTTATTATTATTATTCTTATTATTCCAAAGTCTACATTTGGTCATTTTCTCATTAATTTTTTAGCAACCGAAAGATAGCATGAACTTGTTCCTTGAATTACCTTTTCTGACCTTTTGCAAGAGATAATTACAAAAAAGGGAGGCCTGGAAGGACTTGTACAAAAATTAAGCTTATAAAGTAGCTAAAATGGCCCTTCTGTGCTGGTGTCGATTTCCAAATTAACATTTTGGTTCATGTGCTTCTAATAATCACTGACCCTTACTTCATGTACTTTCCACAGGAAATGAATACAGCAGAAATTACTTTGACCCACTGATGGATGAGGAAATCAACCCAAGGCAGTGTGGGATGGAGGTCAGCGGAGAGGGTGAGCTAGAATTAAGTATGTAATTTTTGTGTCAGAATATTCTTTTCCATTCATGAAAATGAGGTGACAAAGATCACACATGCAGTTCCGTTTAGATTTTGTGGCTTACAATTTAAATGGTAAGTTTTAACCACTAACAACATGATGGGCAGTGAAGGTAATTTTTGATCAAGGACAGCCAGCTGGTCAGAGAGAAGAAGTAGGAATTTGCTTTCATTTGACGCCGCCGGAAGCAGTTTGGTGTCATTATAAGGCCCATGTTATGCGTATGAGGACCATCATCACTTCACAAATGCCATCTCTGGTCTTTGAGTTTAAAATGAGCATTCTTCAAAGCCGCACAAAATGCATCTAGCCTAAGAAGTTTCTGGGCGCCTGGGTGGCTCAGTGGGTTAAAGCCTCTGCCTTCGACTCAGGTCGTGATCCCAGGGTCCTGGGATGGAGTCCCTCATCGGGCTCTCTCTCTGCTCAGCAGGGAGTCTGCTTCCCCCCTCTCTCTCTCTCTCTGCCTGCCTCTCTGCCTACTTGTGATCTCTGTCTGTCAAATAAATAAATAAAATCTTAAAAAAAAAAAGAAGTTTCTGTGCACGGTGACTCCTGATGCCTTTCATCAGAGGCAGGGCACGGAACCACTGCCTGGGTTCTGAACCACAACGGTGCAGTGATCTGATTTTCTCTTCTATAACCTTGAGTCTAGTTGCAGCTGTAACAGTTCAGAAGACCACATTCCACCCCTGGGCACCAGTCATTGAATCTGAACATTTTAGGGAAAGACTGGGGTAAATCCTCACAGAGAGAGGGGCTCAAGCATGGTGTAGGAATGATTTTAAAAGATGGTTTTCCATAACTACACCGCTTTTTAGATGACACAGAATCCACAGATATCATCAAAAGACGTATGCACAGGAAAAGGCAAGAACTTGATCTGAGGACAGTTTTTACTAGTAACTCAAATCGAGGTGAATTGAAAACTGGAAAAACCTCAACCTTTTATTTGCCCAACACACAGGAGGATGAAAGATAATCCCGATGCTTTCTGGAGAGGAATGTGAACTGGATTCTTCTTGAGGTCTGCTTTAACTCCTTGGAGATCACAATATATAGTTGTATTTGGTGGAGTTTTTGTAATGTAAGGACTAAAGCTGGCTTAATAAGATGTTCAGTGATACATGAACGAGGAGCGGCTCTAACCACAGACAGACAAGGTTCATAAAATAAAATATTGTGTGTCACTCTTCCCTAGTCCGCAGTGATGGCCCAGTGCCTGGAGTTCACGTTGCATCACATGTTTCAGAGTGGGCAGTTGTCTTTATATCCAGTTTTAAGTCCGCAGTTGATGATAATTTATTTTTCTTTTTGCTGGGTATTCAAACCCTTGCACCTATCTCAGTTAGGTGGGTAGACAGTGCTAATGAACACAAGATTGCCTTCCACGTCCTCTGTGGCACGGAGCTAGAGACCATGCAAGGACATAACAGGGCAGGGTTCGGCCACCTGAGCAAAGGCACAACGCACAGAGTTTAGTGTGTTTGCCCCATCTATATCCACCCCGGTTCCGCTTTTCTCATATTTATTTGTCTGTAATTTGTTTCTTTTTTCTCAAATCAATACAGCTTTAAGATACCACAAAGAAGTCTGAAAAATCATCCGGCATCTTGTGATTTTTGTAGCTGGACAACTTAGATCTTATTCATCAGCGTGCGTGACTAGTCCTTCTTCAGAAACATAGACCCCATCCCCAGATTTTCTGTCATGCTTGTTTTTAACTATGGCGGCTTACTGAATCAAAGCAGCAGAGTGTGACACCAGTTCAGTGTCATTTCCTTCAAGAATTAACTCATCTTTCCTGAGTTACTGAACAAGCAACACATGGTCTCATCCAAAACCCTGGGGATGTATTTTTCACCCAAGAGATTTTGAATTTTGACAAGAGAACTGTTCTCCTAAATAACAATGTTGGTGGGGAAGTGGGCATTCACAGACCTAATCCTGGAATCGAAGCCCAGACCACACCCTTGACCATCTTCTGTGCATGACTACAGATCATGTAGACAGTAGCCAGTTCTTTGCTGTTTCCTATCACTTGTCAACTCAGAGCCTCTTCTATTTCTTTCCAAGGAGACTGAGTTCTACATTGATGTGATTGAAGTCTCTTTTTGGGGTACCTCTGGGATCCTTCATAATAACAGTGTCCCTTCAGAGTGATGTTGACACTTTCTGAAATGTCAACACTCTGTTGAGAATGGTTTTCATTCTCACAGTAGATGTGGCAAAACTGTTTATAATTTGTACTCTACTTGCTTCCAAAATAGTTTGAAGAAGCTTATAATAGAAATGTAAATGCATATGGTCAAAGCATTCAAACATAGATGAAAGAGGGATTTGAGAACACCTACACAAAGAAGTAAATGCACAAGAAATCAAGTACTGTAATTAATTATAACTATAATTAATCACTTACTCTTACTTTGGGCTTCCTGAAAGTGAAATGTAAAGATACATAAGATAGGTAACATTTAGGTGAATGTCAGTCACATCTAAAAAATACCTTCAGGGTTAAACAGAATTGATGACTCTTTTTCAGTGTCTATAACCACCACCACCACCATCACTTTATTTTATTAATTTTTTTAAAGATTTAATTATTTATTTGGGAGGGGGGTGATTAGAGGGGAAGGGGCAAGGGGAGAGGGAAAGAAAGAAACTCAAGCAGACTCCCCACTGAGCATAGATCCGGACATGGGGGTTGATCTCATGACCATGAGATCATAACCTGAGCCCAAATCAAAGGTCAGATGCTTAATCAACAGTCACACAGGCACCTCTACAATTTAATTTAATTTTTTAACAGTAGATCCTGGAAGGATAATGTTATGTTAATTTTTTGTTTAGCAAAGATTAAAAATAATGGACAATTGGTTCTTGGTTATTGGTCAATACATTTTACTTACTATGGAATCTGAGTGTCGCTACGAGGCATCTAGTACATAGGTGCCCAACTTTTATTATTTTATCATTTGGATATGATTTTATATAAGTAATTCTAGCTTGTGGATCAGTCAGTGTTCTCCAAAGAAACAGAACCCCAAACCAATAAATAGGCTCTCTTTCTGTCCCTACATATTACATAATACATGTATAATATACATGTACATAATACATGTACAATATTTGTATATGCAAAGAGAGACAGACAGACAGAAAGAGGGAGAATTATTTTAAGAAATCTATGTGATTGTTCATATGATTGTGAGGACTGGCAAGTCTATCTATAGGGCTAAGGCTGGTAGGGTGGAGATTCAGGTGAAGTTTGAGTGAAATTCAGGCAAGCATTGATATGCAGTCCTGAGAGTGAATTTGGCAGGGCAGTAGACTGGAATTGGCAGTATAATTTCTATGTTGTAGTGTTGAGGAGAATCACTTCTTTGGGAAACCTGCATTTTCTCTCATGCCTTCAACTGATTGGATGAGACCCACCCACATTATGTGTAGAGTGATTTGCTTTGCTCAAAGTGTATTAATGTAAATGTCAGTCACATCTAAAAAATACCTTCATAGCAGCATCTAGACTGATGTTTGACCAAACAACTAGGTACTGCAGCCTAGCCAAATTGACACATCAAGTTAACCATCACCTGTTGTATTTAGTAATAACTAATTAATTCATAGTAATACCTTATGGAGTGTTGAGGTCCATGGATTTGACATACTAAATGCATTCTCCATGATCACCAGACTTTAATTCTGTTCCAACTCAGTCTCAAGTGAACACCAGCTCCTGCCTGGAATTGTTGGATTGCTTTTGTCCACATCCATTCTTCCTTTGTTTTAATCTATTGTCCACATGGCATCTTGCTCATCCCTCATTGAAGCTCTCTTATTGTTGCCTGTTGCTGTCAGGGTAAATACCAGCCTATTGTCCTTACTCATCTCAGGTCCGCTGCACTTGCTCACCGTGCTCTGGCCGCATTGAACTTGCTTTTGTTCCTTAGATGCATGGAGCTCTTTCGGGACACTGAACCCTCACAGGTGCTGGGACAGCCACCTTACTGGCCACTGTACACTCTTCTGAGCTTACATCTCAATTCTCGACTCCCCTGACTAACCAAAGTGAAGTTTCTCTATCTTATCAAACTCATCATGATGATCGCTCACTATTTATTAGTGAGTTTACCTGTGGAAAAATGTGTTTCTCTCCTTTAAACCATCTCTTGAACACAAAGAGGGAAGAGAGTCTACTTACTTTGCTCGCTGATGAATTTTTAAGGCTTAGCACAGTGGTTGGCACAGAGCGAATGTTGACTTGAGAAGTTCTTGTTGAGTGAATGTATAAATGAAGAAATGAATGGAAAGTGCTAAGCATAATATCCCAAACATGGCGAGGCTTCTGTATACATGAGTTATGAATACTTCCTGAGTGCTCATGGTGTCTTAAGCTGGACATAGCCGCTCTGGCCAGACAATGCAAAACCATCTAAAGGAGCTGTCATTATTTCTATTTTTAAGATGAAGAAACATACTGAGAAAGATTTAGTAGTTTTTCTTAAGGTCACAGAGATCTGGCAAGCATGGAGTGGAGATCGGATCCCTATCTTTGGCACTATCTGTTCTCTTTCCCCTAAGGAGTGGCCTTGGTCCTGTTGGTTTTTCCCACTTTTCCCTTTGAGGAAAACATCTAAGGGGAAAGTACCTGGATTGATTCAAATTGTTGAATTTGAGTTTGAAGGGGATAGTCTCTTGCCTTCAGTTTCTGTCTTATGTAACCCATTTGACCCTCCAGGGTCCTCTTGGAGCACCACTGAGGGGGTTTCTCAGCAGGTCTGCCTACCAAAAAAACTAGAACCTCTTGCTCAGATTCCCCTCATATGACACCCCAGAAACTGTCTGTAATTCATTACTTCATAATGAAAACAAAAATACTAGTTTAGAATGACAGAACCTAAACTATTGAAAAATTCTGTTGCGAAAAATTACGAAGTAGTTAACAAACAAGGAAATGGGGGTGGCTGCCCTTTGCTGAGTCCCCACTATATGCCAGGCATGAAGCAATGAGCTGTATGTGTGTTATCTTCTTAACCCTCACTTCCGTCCCATTTTTGGGGCCAGGAGATTAAAGCTCAAAGACTCTAAGAAGTTTCCCTAAGATTACAGAGCTGGTAAGTGGTGGAGCTGGGATTTGGATGTAGGTTTGCCTCTTTTTAAGGATGTTGTCTCTGTACTAATCCCATTTACCTTTTGTCTATCTGTTGGCCTTGACATGCAAAATGCATGTTCATTTATTCTTTTCTGTGACTCTCATTGGTCTGTCAGGATTACGTAGTCCTTATAGGGAGGTTTTTATTACGTCTGCAGAAATTTCCCCATCTATGCAGCTGCTATTGTTCTTTGTTAACTTCCAAAAAGATTCTTTTATAAGCCATAGATCAGTCAAGTTCCAGGCAATGCTTCCCTAAAGCGCAACCTGCAAAGTGTCTTCCGGGGATGGCTCCCTTCCTTTCCCCCAGATGTTGGGGTGGTAGGAGGTTTGTGCAGGCTCTTGGCAGGAAAAGAACATTTGTAGGTTGACCAATCCTTGAGAAAATCATCTGCAGGTTTCCGTGAGCAGAAGCTGACTTCAAAGACCTTTTTATGATACGCTTTCAGACATTCTATCTGGCTCCAGCAGCCTGGACTTTCCTGAATAGTCATCCCAAGTCCATGAGCACAGGCTACAGTGAACTTCTTTCCAACACGGATGTTCCAAAGATCATAGGGATGGATGGAAAGGGGAGACCTAGAATTTTCAGGAAGTTCTCACTTGGACAGTGAATACCCCTCAAGGCTCTTCTAGAACACTTGCTACTGGAGTTTCAGATGTGAATTGCAGAATCAACTACCATCCTCAGAGTTGGCTCACCCATGGAGTCCAAAGTACGAAGTAGGAGAAATATGTTGACTTTTTAAAAACTACCTCTGTAAGAGTACAACCACAGTTTAGCTAGTTCACTTGCCTCTTAGAGGAAGGGGAGCCATGTTTGATGTATATATGTATATTCTAAGACTGGGGTGGTCATCCAAATTTGCATAATTTATGTTTGGTTCTATCCAGTGGCAGATCTACCTAGAAAGACTCTTTAAACCCTTTTCCAGAACTGTGTTTTGTTTTTTTTTTTTTTGATCATGTGTTTTTTGTTTATATGTTTGGTTGATTGGCTGGTTTCCAATTTTTAATGACATAACCTTGTTACTTTAAATTCACAAAAGAACTAAGTAGCATGTATATTTGCTCTTACATTGCAATAACGTATATAAAAGAATTTAAGACCACCTAATGCCACTTAAGTTTGTTGTTTCTTACATATATGCAGTAAAAAAATAGGATATGCAGAGAGTAGGTAGTGGAAGACACTCATTCATTTTGCATGTATATTCTGTTGTATGATTTGACAAACCATAATGGCTTGTTCTGAAATAATTTTTGTGTAGTGTATGTCATAATCCACTGAATATTAGATCATTTTTTTGGAGAAGAAGTATTCTATTATGAATACATTGCAACATACATTTGAAAGTCATTGTTCCAGTTATCATTGATTTAAAAAAGGTTTTTTTTTTTTTAATTTCAGAGGAAGGCAGCATATTGAATAGAATTTGTGTCTATGACCTGTAGAATAACTAAAGAGCCACAATCAATTATATTTTTGTAATTCAATTTGCATATTTATGTATTAACTGATGAGTAAGTTATCATAAATATGTTCTTTTAGCACCTCTACAAGTTGATAATAGAATTCTCTGTGATCGATTAATGAGGCTGTTTGACAAGAGTGAACAAGGAGAAGCCCAAGGTAGGAGACTAAAAATTATTTTCTATCTTTTGTATTAACATTAGTTATAAATTCATCAAGATGTGTTCTTGCAAATGTTGATCTGTGTTTTCTAAATATAACCACTCACTGAGGACCTATGTGTGTTTGATGGTTACAAATACTTAAATATAGCTAAAGCTGGGGGGAAAGGTAACTATGGCCCAGTTTTCTGGAATTCAATAGGACTTATAACCCTACATAGTGAAAGTGATTTACTTGCTTTGAAGGATCTTACAATGGGATATGACATATTTGGATTCTCTAATATGGTGCTATATGCCACTCTTTTTAAAGAGTATGTTTTAGCTCTTAGAGAAATGCTTTGGGTGGTAGAAGACAAGCACTATATTGTTTTCAATCTTAGCATGGGAATTCATACTTGTGAATGTTAGGCTCTTTAAGTAATTCTCATGTGTATTAATCTAGGAATTTAAAGATAATCCCTTAAAAACTAAAATCTAAATTCTTAGGTTAATGCATATAAATTCATGCCAGAACCACACTTGAGATTTTACCAAAGCATTAAGAGTAAATTGTTGTATCCACGTGTATTTAAATTCATTAAGTTTTTTTTTCTTCTCAGTGTGTGCTTAGTTCTTCTCAAGGGATCATTGTCTCTTTCTTATTTAAATAATTCCTTAAAATACTTGTGAGGAGATGGGGTCATGGTTAAGTCCTCTATATTTTTAGTTATTTTTCCATTGAATTTATGCTTAATCTTCTCCGTTTGGTAACCATCACCTTGGACCAATTTCTTAATCTTTCTTTGTCATTTCTGCCAAATGGATACAATCCCTCCCACAATGGAGTAGTTATGGGGATTAAATTATTCGCTAATACATGGGCAGACATCATAAGCACACACACAGAGAATAATGAAGATAATTGATAATGATAAAAACATTAATACCAGCTAAACATTTGGTGAGTGCTGACCAGGTGTCTGGCATCATCCTAACCACTGTTCAATTCTAAATAGGGTAAGTATTATCTTACTTAAACCTCCTAGCAATCCTGAAAGATAGGCTGCCTTTTTTATCCCCATTTATAGAATGGCATCCTCTAAAATTTTTATTCCTGCCTAGATACAGTTCCCCTTAGCTTTTTTTTTTTTTTTACTATCATTTTGTGTAACTTTTTATTTCTTTTTGTCTTTGTAAACCAAGCAGACTCATTTTTCAGGCCAGCTTGATCCCTCATTTTGAGGGATCCTTACTTGAATGAAAAATTAGTCAGGATTCCCCAGAGAAGCAGAATCCAATAGAACCAATAGAAAGAGAGAGAGATTTATGGCAGCTGGCAAGTCTGAAACCCTTAGGACACAATGGTAGGGTGGAGATTCAGGTAAGAGTTGATATAAAATTCAGGCAGGAGTTGAAGTCTTGAGTCACAATTCCGCAGGGCAGAAGGCTGGAAGTTCAAGTAAGAGATAATGTTGTAGTCTTGAAGCTCAATTCCTTCTTTTTGGAGGAAACCCTAATCTTTACTCTTAAGGCTTTCAAATGACTTGATGAGGCCCTTTCACTTCATGAAGGGGGATCTGCTTTGTTCAAAGTCTATTGATATAAATGTTAATCACATCTAAAAATTACTTTTGATGGCAACGTCTACACTGGTGTTTGAACAAATAGCTGGGCACCGTAGTCTAGCCATGCAGACACATAAAATTAAGCATAAATAATGGCTATGTTTAAATTAAAGAGATCTCTATATTTTCAGTCTAGTATGTGAGTCAGCAAATACGTATTGAGTATCTTTCTGTGTGTGTGTGCATGCTAGGCATTGGGCAATGCACTTTTATACTTATTATGTCTTTTCCATTCTGACAAGTCTTTGCAGCTTGGATCCTGGAAACCGCCCAGGTACACCTGATAGGCTTTCGAAATCATTTGTGAGCTTTCCAAACTCTTATGGAATTTACAAAATGAATAGTCAGGCACTGTTCATCGGTACTATATAGTCAGCTATATTGTACAGGAGGATATAATGGAGACTTAGAAAGTTTAAGAATTTGTGCAAGGTAATACGGTGAACGAGTGAGCAAAGAAAGCAGTCTTCTGGTAGCAGCAGCCCAGTTCTCCTCTCCAGTAACCCACCTCATGTCCTGTTGGACACTGGGCTCTCTTCCTTTGGTTAAAAAGTATCTAGGTTTTTGTTAAAATCCTAATTTTGGAGGCATGCAAAAATTCCATATTTTATCTTCCAGCATTTTCACCCAAGCCTGGAAGAGAGAGGATTATTGTATATTTACAGTGTACCTCTAGCTAGATGAATAGATGCATTTTGTAGATGATGCTGTTTTCAGAAGATAGAGAGAGAAAGAAAATACACATACCATTTATATAAATGCAGGCATTTCTATGCAAATAAACAAGGCAGCCCAGATGAAGTCCTTCTGTGTTTGCAAAGCTCAGGAACTGTTCTCAGGGATCCTAACTTGAAAAATGAACCCAAGGGCTCCAGCTTCTCCTACACCTATTCATCTCCTAAGTTGATTTCAGCAAAGCGGTGAGTAGTGGTGAGACGGTGAGGTAAACAACATGTAATGTTAACAAACAGAAAAGTGGCGTATCTACCCTTCAGGAGGTAATTTGGTAAGTGAGAAAAAGGCTTTCATTTAGAGCCTGTACTTGACTCACTTTGGGAACATGACAGGAAGAACAAAAGTTGTTGGCATCAGGCTTGTTTTTTAATCTTAAAACTTGTTCTGGGCTTTAGCAATTTCCCAGGACATTAAACAGAAAATAACTTGCTAAACTGTAGATTATCGAAAACCAGGCTTTATCCCCAATAAGAAAAAATGTGGTTAGATGACTGTGTGGCAAGCCACTGTTAAAGTGATAAAGAGCCAAGTCAAATCTTGTGTGATTTTCTTGGGGTAAATAGATGAGAGCTTCAAGGAGATTGTGGATTCTGAAAAGCCAGAGAGTTCCAGAGAGAGACCTGAGCCCCACGCCACCTCTGCCTATGGTGAGGCCTCTGAGGGACATGTTCAGAAAAGTATAATTCTGCTTGAAAGTTCTTCCTTGGAACAGGTGAGTATCAAATGTATATCGAGAAATATAAGATAATGTCTCTTTTTAAAACAGCAAGTTGAAATGTCTGTCCTATATATCGTCCACTGATTTTACTTGCCAACACACCCCTGTATAGAACACATGATTCATGATTTGCCTAAATCTTTCCCCTTATTTTTTATACATTTTTTAGCAAGCAGAACTCATGCTATTTATCAATATCAATCCCAGTCCTCACACAATTTAAATTTATTTCAACTAGTTTTATTTCATTTACCCCAAGAAGAAAGATAGGCTGATTCAGGCTAAATAGGAAAAAATATCACTGGGGAGTGGTACTTACTTCAGACCATTTTTAGGAGGAGGAGAGGAGCCTTTCATAAAGAATCCAGCACAGAGGAAGTGCTCTTTAAATGGCAAGGGCAGGGGGGAGAGAAAAAATGGTCATCTGTGTTCTCACCTTCAATGGTGTCAGGAAGTTCTGTGTGTAGGAAAGTACTTCAGACTTGGTCTTGGAGTTCATGGCTTTCAACCTTGGTTCTGATATTTATATGAATTTGAATCTTTCTATAAAGTAGGATGAAATAACTTAAGCCTTTTATGGGGGTCGTGGGGATTAATATGTATCCAAATGGCCAGCGGTTGATGTTTCTCTTTTCTTATGACTTATGTTACATATTTGTTGAGACTGTTACCTATGCTTACTTTTTTGTGTTTGTTTTTTGTATTTTTTTTAAGATTTTATGTATTTATTTAGAGTGAAGGGGAGAGAGAGAGAGAAGGTAGGAGTGGAAGGAAGGGCTGAAGGAGAGGGAGAGAAAGAATCTCAAGCAGACTCAGCACTAAGCATGGAATTGGATGTGGGGCCCAATCTCACAACCATGAGATCACCACCTGGGCCAAAATCAAGAATTGGCCACTTAACTGACAGAGCCACCTAGGCATCCTACTTATATTTACTTTTTATGGCTGTTGTAAGAGTGAACTGATACTTTAAAAAGTCAAGGTGTTTATTTTTTTATTTAAAGATTATTTATCAGAGAGAGAGAAGGCACAAACATGGAGGAGAGGCAGAGAGAGAAGTAGGAGCCCAACATGGGGCTCGATCCCATGACCTTGGGATCATGACCTGAGCTGAAGGCAGACACTTAACCAACTGAGCCACTCAGGTGTCCCAAAGTCAAGGTGTTTAAATGGGGATAGGAGAAGGTCCCAGTAGAGGTGAGAGCTGTTTGGTGAGTCCATTCTCAAACTATTTATCTATACTTATTAATGGATGTGGAAACTGGGTGGATGTCTTGTCATCTCAACATTTTGTGGCCTCTAGTGGTGGATGTGGGGTGACAAAAGAATCGAGACCACAAAAAAAGAGATGAAAACGACCTTTACTAAACATCATGGGACTGGGTTGGGAATTGTCTGGTACAGAGATTATGGTGGGAAAACTCAACAGATAGAGATCCTGACAGTTGATGTGTTTCCGGGAGAAAAAAAATACTACTGAGTACTACAAAACCAAAAGTGCAATGGGTGTGCATTTGAGAGTCAACTGAGTCTTGGAGTCAATTGAGAGGTCCCATTTCAAGGGCTATGCAAATGACGACCTGTTACTTTAATTGTTAATTGTTAATTGTTTAGTTACCTGAGTATATAAAACTCTTCAGAAATATTTGCACTGACTTTATATATCTTGTAGACATTAGAAAGCTTATAAGAAAGACATGATATGACTTGGATCTGAGAATTATCCAGTAAGAAATAAATCTCAGCAATTAAGTGCATAACGTTAATAAATTTATTCACAGAAGAAATCCAGGGAAGCAATAATGCATTGTTTTTCGAATAAGTATTGAATTAAAAATAAAATTATTTTATTTTATTTTTTATCTACCAGAGGGAAGTGTTTTCCTGGACATTTGCTCATATTTACTTTATGTGAAGTATCTGCCCTTAATCAGTTGCAGATAACTAGGTTTTCCTCTGAATTTTAATAATAATTCATATATTTAGTTTATTTCATTAGGAAGCCATGCTTATGGGAAGTTTTGAGAAATGGTTTATATTTAATATACTACAGTAAGGAAAATTATTTTAAGTTTTTGTCTTGATTTTATTCTTAATTTAAAACAATATTTATTTATTTGACAGAGAGAGAGAGAGCACAGGGGTGCAGCAGAGGGAGAGGGGGAAGCAAGCTTGCTTCTGAGCAAGGAGCCTAATGTGGGTCTTGATCCCAGGACCCTGGAATCCTGACCTGAGCAAAAGTTAGATGCTTAACTGACTGAGCCACCCAGGCACCCCAAGTTTTTGTCTTGATTTTAAAAATGAGATATAGCATCTAGGATAGTGTTGAAATAATATATTAGCTTGAACCAAGCGTCTTTCATGGAGACAGTCTGAAAAGCTCATCAGTGTGTATTGGCAGCTAGCCCTACTTTTCTAAATTTTTTCATAACTGCCTGACATTTGGCAATGGGCAATTTTGAAACAAGTCTAGCATGTGTGAATGAGAGTCAAGTATGATCCCTCACTCTTGAATATGAGAGAAAATGTAGACATGTAAAATCCATAATAAGATCTCCACAAATAAAAGATGGATGTCATAAGACACTTTAACAGATTAATCAGCATATTTTCTATAAGCCAGAGCATATTCTACACTGTGGTTAGCATAGAGAACTTTTAGAGATTAGTGGAGTTTTAAAATCACTAAAGACATTTATATGAGCTAAACTTCTATTTTATTATTTAACCAATACAGTAGCTTATCTATCAATTCTTAAATATTACATTAAATGTAAATATAAATGAAGATATAATGAATAAAATTCTAGAGATAAACAGAACAAGAGTGCTAACATTATTTCATAGAGAAAAAAAAAAAAAGCAGTAGTGCCTTTCCACATGTTAATTCAAGGGAAACCATAATGATCCTGTCATGGTCCATAGTTGGCAAGCATCAGCTAATTCAGTGCCTTTTCTGACGTAGGCAGGGAAAATGCCACATTATTATAAATGTGAAAGATGGCTCTCCAGAGCAGAAATACAATTTTCCAAATTAAAACCTCATGGAATCCCTTTCAGTTTTAATATGTGTTAAATCTATATTAAAAAAAGTGCTGTCCAATTTTTGGCACTCCAATTTTTCCTTACTTAGCTCCCATTTTATGTATTTATTTTTTAATTCCTTATTAGTTACCTGGCATACATTTTGAACATCCCAGAATGTTCAGATGGAGACATTTTTGCCAAAGCAGACTGGCATTGGAGGAGCAGCAGGTTACTATTTAGAATGAGTAAACACATTTCAGTGATGTTATCTTTGCTCTGAAAATCTTTACCTAATGCAGCCACAATCAATTGTTTATTTACTTACTGTCAGTTCACATTTTATCAGCACCTCTAAGAAAAAAGAGATTTACAAAACAAAAAATATTATGAGTTGTTACTTTTTTCATTGAAATTTATTTTACATCTTATCTTCTTCTTTTTTTTTTTTTTTTTTTTTTTTTTGCTGTGGTTCACAAGATTTTTTGTTGATATTAGAACATAAATTTTTCTCCATCTTTCCTTTCTCCTTTCCAGTAGTAGGCACTATTAAATCTGATAATTAGGCAATTGGGGTCACTGAAGAAATTTCTATCATGAAAAAATGTGTGGGCACATAGCACAACAGAATGACTAAGGCAACTAATTCTATAGGCATCTATCTCTGGTGTACAAACATGGTCCAGGGATAACATTTTGTATATCTAGAGACTGGGTGAGCTGATCATTCTTTAAAAATCTACATTAGCATAATTTCTTAGAACTGAAAATTCAGTATCTCTGAACTGTCAGAGAATTTGAGGTTGTATTATTGGATACAAATCTAAAGAACAAAAATTCTTTATTTCAGATGAATGGTAAATGCCTTTCTTTTAGTAGTCACGTAAGCCATAGAGTATGACTCATGTACTCCTAGGAGCCTACTGGTACATGTTCCAGAACATGAAGCCACGCTACTATTGCTTGGAATTGGGTCAAGGAAGGAGAAAGTGTCATGTTTTGGAGTATAGGTTTATATGTGTTAAACTATGTGTTGGAAAAAAACAAAGCAGGGGAGCTGAATAATCCCAGTAGATTGTCATATTCTATTAAACTTCTAGATCCTGTTCTAAACTACTGAATTTCAAATTGTAGTAAAGTGGTTCCTGACATGTCTAGCCATTCCCCTTTGTCTTTTTCTCAGTAGGTAGTCCACCACCAACCAACAATCAGGCTTGCTCATAGTTCAAGGCAAGCTCAACTGGCTGTCAGTTAGCCTTTTGACCAGATATCCTCTCACCTTCAGGAAGACAGAGGGACATTTCTGAAACACAGATATTGATGAAAGGGTTTCTTGTTTGCTATTTGAGGGCAAACCATGTTACTTTTTATATAACTTTTTTTTTTTTTGCAACTTCATCATGCTGAGAATGCCACACAAAATATGATTTTATTACATATATTTGTAAAACAAAACAGTGTCAGTTTGACAAATTATTTAATAATTCAACTCTCCTTTGCCCAATTCCTCCCATTCTCTTATAAGTTCCTTGTATAACCAAATTTCCTTCAGAAACTCAGCCCTCAGTTATATATCAGCAAATGAAAACTTTTGTTAAATAGGACAGAAATGAGAATGCTACATTGTGTTCAAGAGAAGGGAACCCCCACACATATTTAACACTTACAGTAGTACCTCAGTAAATAAGTAAAGATACTTATGCTTTATTCCATGAGCTTCTTTACATGAAGATCCTGTTTTTGTTGTTGTTGTTGGGTTTGTTTGTTTGTTTTTTATGTTCAACACCAAGTGCAGAGTCTGGCAGAAAACATGAAGTATACCCTCATTTTTAAATGAATGAATAAATAAGTGAGTGAATTCTGTGGATAACTGGGAGGGTAAAATTCTCATGGCTATCTTTAGCATATAAATGTTTTCTGATATTAATTTTCTCTACTACAGTCTAATGTCACTATGTGGAGTGTTTGAA